CAAGGCTGAAAATCCGAACTTTGGGTGACACTTTTTTATGTGCTGAATGAAGTAGTACGTTGTGCTAAAGAGGTTGTACCTCAATGTAGAGAGTCTACCCGGCCTTATTTTTGGTGCGAAAATACACCTTCGTTGCCATTATTGGATGTGCAATTGCAATGTCGCATTCCATCCCATTCGTTTGATAGGGTGACAAGTGTCACTTTGAAATGTTTCTTAGCAAATTGGCAATTTATAAATATGGGGCCAACCAACGCCCACCGAGTTTTTTTATTTCTTTGAAATAGACATAAACAAAAGATCTCACATCATTCTCCAACTGTAACTCGTACGTATTTTAGGACATGTCATTTTAAAATAGGCTTTTTATCACAAATAGTCCTTAACGTTTACGATTTTATCACGAATGGTCCTTGAGGTTTTTTTGTGACACTAATAGTCCTTAACGTTAGTACTTTGTATCACAAATGATCCCTCCATTAAAAATTCTGTTAAGTGTAATAAGTGATCCCACATGTCCAATCACATCGTGACATGTGGATTAAATAAATAAAGAAATAATTTTTATTTTATTTTATGAAAATCCATTCTCTCTCTGTCTCTCTCCCCCTCCCCTCTGCCCTTTCTCCTCCCTGTGCTCTCCCTCTCCCTGTGTTTTTTTTCTCCTTGCCTCTACAGCTCGATCACCCCATGCCCACCCACTCGCAACCCACCCCTCTCCCTCTGTATGTTTTGCAAAATAATCACTTGCACAAGGTAGTTTCACATTTCCTTTTACACAAATATTTATTCAAACAACTTAAAATAATTAAAAACAGAGGGGGAGAGTAGAGGAGGAGAGAAAATACAGTGGGATGACTTGCTGGTGGCTATGTTAAAAGGAGTGGGGAAATCACCACTCTAAAAGAATCCCAAAGACCATTTTTTCTTGTAGGTAGCAGGCAATGGGCAAGAAAAAAACAAAGGGGGATTGTGGGTTATGATTTATATACCACTATACAAAGATGGAGAAAGATATATGGATTATATTATTATTTTTACTGAGGGAGAAGGAGAGGACAGGGGGGAGAGAGGGAGAGCAAAGGGGGAGATAAGGGGCAGAGGATGGAGAGTGAGGGCAGAAGGGGAGAGAGATGGAGTAGAGGAAGGGGGATGAAAAGTTGTAGGAAAAAAAAAAGGAATTTTCATTAAAAAAAATTATTTAATTATTTTTTCATCCACATTTCACAATGGGATTGGACATATGGGCTCCACTTGTCTTCCACATCAGACACTTAACAAAATTTTTAACGGAGGGACCATTTGTGATAAAAAACCCTAACGTTAAGGACTATTAGTGTCACAAAAAAATCTCAAGGATCATTCGTGATAAAATCTTAAACGTTAAGGACCATTTGTGATAAAAAGCCAACTAAGTAGTGTTGTTGTTTACTTTACGTCGTCTGGTTTGGTGCCTTGCGGTGCTGTCTTCCACTTCTTGTCGTAACTCATAATGAACACCGTAATAGTAGTCGTTGACTTTAATGAACGATGCACGCCATAATTGCCGCAAAACGACATCGTTTGAAATATAAAAATTTGTATTTAAAAAATAATCAAGCGCAGAACAAAACACAAGTATTGCTTTTAATGTTGAATCCGTTGCTTGAATTTCATTCCAAGTGCAGACAATCTTTTCTGCAAAGGGAAAATTTCGTTTTTCCTCCCTAGTTTGTCTAAGTAGAATACAACTTTTTTCAGGGTTATCATAACCTCCTCACCCTCGGGGCCAAACTCTTTCTCTTGGATGCTCAAAACCCTCTTTAGCTGCTCCAGCAACTCTTCATCATCCTTCTTCAATCTAGTTTGGATTGACACCAAACAGTCGAGAGCCTCCGCTGCGAAATACATCACCATAGCACATCAGATGAGGACCAAATGATCCTGTCATTTACTTGACCATAAAGAAAACAACAACATACCAACAGGAAGGGAATCTTTTTCAAATGCTTTTTCACGGATGTGCAAAGCCTCCAGGGCAAGCTGTTCAGCTTCTTCATCCCGCTTTAAATGGTAGAGAGTAACGGCAAGGTGCAGCATTGGGAATGTGATGGATTGATCATCAGGCCCCACTGTCTTTCCCATGATCTCCAAACTTGTCCTCAGCAAGCGCTCAGCCTCCACATAATTCTTCGACCTCGAATGGGACGTTGCAAGATTAATAAGATGTGTTGCTGAGCTTGGGTCCTCTTTACCTTTATATTTCTCAGTGATCATCAAACATTGCTCCAGTAGCTCTCGGCCTTCCTTCCCTCTGCAAGCATCCAAATTAATATGCTAAAAGAGAAAGGAGCAACTGTAGGCCGTAGGCTTTTGTTTTTTAATTTCACATCAGCAGAAACTTACAATGTAAGAAGTAGAAAGATAAGGATACTTCTGAGACGATAATTAAGAACATCTACCAAGTGTACAATCAGTGAAGAACATCACTAAACAAACACCACTATTATGAAATTTGGAAATATAGGAAATTACATCCAAACTTCCAATCATAATATTGAATTGAACTGTACCTTCCAACAGCATGAAGTAACTCTGCCAAATCTATCCTCATCTTCTCTATTATGCTGTCATCTAAAGCCATATAGTTGGACGTTGTGATGACCTGTAGAGCTCTTCTATATAAAGAGATGGCTTCATTTGCATCTCCTGCAGCAAATTAGAGCATCTGAACCCATACGTGAAACAGAGAAGCTATTCACAGTGAGAGAGAGAGAGAGAGAGAGAGAGAGAGAGAGAGAGAAAGGAGGAAGAAGAGGAGAGAGGAAGGGGGAGAGGAGGAAGGGGGGGGAGAGAGAGAGAGAGAGAGAGAGAGAGAGAGAGAGGGAGATATTGTATGATTACCCACTGCACACTTCACGTGTGCCAGAGAACACATGGCCAATCCAAATCTTCCATCATTCTCTCCATATAACTTCTTGTATATGTTAAAAATTCTACAAAAGGACAAGAAAGAATGAACTAAACCTTCGAAGATTCAGTCAGTGCACAAGGAAGCAAAGTAAGCTGTTCTACAAAAAGGGGGAAAGCAATTAAACCTTAGAAAAGGACTTTCTGCCTCAACAGGCTTTCCTTCTTTGAGTAAAAGACTGCCAACACCAAATAAAGGTATGACCAAATCCTCACTTTCAGCACCTCTACTTGATTCTAGAAGACTTATTGCGCGATGGTAGAATTCTACTGCTTTTGAAGTTCTTCCAATGGAGCTGAGAACTTTTGCCATGCCCAAAATTGGTGTGATAAGAAAGACACTATTTTTCCCTGAAGACAAGATGGCAATAACCATTTAATAAAGATGGAAAACCTCAAATCTCGCAGACAACAATAAGTGAAGCTACAATGGATTCATACTGTATTAAACTTGTAGTTCTATCGAATATTACTGTAAAAAAGAGATCCTTCAGTTCATCATGCAAAATCACATATATCATGACTTTATTATGATGTGTTAAGGAGATCGAGTCATTTAGCCATCTAGTATCATTCACCACAAAAGTCATAAAAACCATCTGGAAACAGCCAACTAGTTTATGAGTAGCGAAAAGGCTCCAACTTGAAAAGAGAGCTTACCATAAATGTTCTCCATGTTACCAATAGCCCTCCTATATGCAGACATTGATTTCTCAAACTTCCCCAAAGTTGAATACATACTTCCCATATGCACGAGAACGGAATCCAGAAGTGGTTCATCATCCTTTAGACTGTCAACAACTTCATTCAACTGGCCACCCATTAAAATGCACCAACAAAAAGGAGAGGAATAACAGCTTACAGAGGGAAATGGGGGAGAAAAACTATAGACGCCCTTCAAAAGAATATACGCCTTCCCTATAGAAGGAAAGAAGAAATTACCATATCCAGTAGGGAATTAACAAATTTTAAGTCACCAATAGCCATGTATCCTAGAGCTATGATGTCAACGGTAGCAGCTTCTTCAATGCCTCTAACACCGGCATTCATCCTTTCCTTCACCGCCTCATAATTGGCTTGAAGTAGGTCTATGGCATCATTTTGGTTCCCCATCATAATCATCATTTTGACTTCATCAAATAACTCTTGCAGTTCTCTCTCAAAATCTTTCATCCCATCCAATTTGTCACTTGAATGCTGAAAAGAAGTAACAGACCTGCTAATCATAAAAATTGGGCAGTCAGTAACTTATTATTTTATGGTGAAACTTAGCAAAAAAACAATAGAAAGGAAAAGGAAATAGCTGCACCTCTGAAAGTTATTTGAATTTGAAACATGACTTTCTTGGCCTGCCACATCCGTATCTAATGAGCCAACAGAAGCAAAAGTTCTGGAGGCATAGCAGCAGAGGGCAAAGGCTCTAACAGGAACCATGAAAATGCTGGAATTCTTTTTTGGGAGACAGCCAGAGAAGCAAGTGAGGCCTTTGTGAAAATGGCCCGACTGGATGTGATGTAAGCACACTTTGCTCATCCTGAATGGTTCAAGCAAGATCATGAGAGCGCACTAACCCAACAAATTCAACTACATAAAAAATCCCTGTTCAAAATATTGGGCAATGATTTTCTTAAAATCCATCCTTGGTGAATCAAAACCAGCAGAATCATAATTTAATACAATTAAAACTGAAATTATATATGTGGTATGTGCAACAACAACATTGAGAATCTGAAGACAGAGGGATAGAGAGATTACCCGTAGTTGTTGAAAAAGGGAGAAGGGAGAAGAAGGGAAGCTGCCATTGGAGTAAGAGGAGGACTTGCAGAAGAGTGAAAACCGAAGGATAGCCCAAGCTGCCAAAGCGGTAAAGATAATGAGAATGGCGGTCGGTAAGTGGGTTAACTCAACGATCCGGGTTTGGGTCGGGTGACTGGTCGGTTCAAGCTTTAGCCCTACAAATGTTATTTTATTTGTTATTTACAATTATACCCCGAAGTATTTGTTTATTTTATGTCCGTGTATTTGCCAAGAACAGAAATTAGACCTTTCAAATAAAATCTATTCGCGCTCTCCCTTTTTTCCCACTCTTCTCGCTAAAAATGAAAATCCCCAGATCCCTTCAGATCTCTATCCCTCGGTGAGATCGAGTAACGATGCTTCTTCGGTGTGTGAGATCATTGAATCAAAGATGATCTACTCTCACTTTACAACCCTAATTGCTAACAAGGGGGCTCGGTCCCGTCGCGAGATCGTGACCGGAACGGCAGCAAGTAAGCGGTGGTTCTGAATCCTGATGGCGGCAGCTGAAGGCAATTTAGGGTTTATTCTTCGATTTCATTTGACTTGAGGGTAATTATTTAGGGTGTTTCGATACTGACGTTTCTTCAACTCGATGAATTCCGATCCTTCCAACCTAGGGTTTGAATTCTTTGATCCTTTGACTCGAAGGTAATAATGTAGGGTGTATCTTAAATTTGTTTTGACGTCTCCACAAATCGAAGAATTCAGACTCTTCCAACCCTTGGGTTTGAATTCTTCGATTTTCATTGACGTGAGGTGAGGGTAATTATTTTTGGTGTATCTTAGATTAATTTTGACATTTCCTCGTGTCCTCTTTACATGGCATTTAGGTATGGCTGCTTCATTTCCGCTTCTGAAGCTGCAAGAGATGGTGGCATTCTTATTGGAGCTATGCATAAATCAGGTCTTGCTTCTTAATTTTCTATTTACCATCACAACTATAGTGCAGTGAATTTGCTTTGTTGCAGAGACGTCATCTTTTTTGTTATGCATTTGCTCATGTTCCCTCAAATTTACCTTTTGTTAGTTTTCCTCTATGGCCCCATAGTACTTTTGCAAAATATGTTTGATTCTTAAAAACTTTTCATGCCACGCATGAACTCCCGATTAATGTTTGTTCCGATATTGAGGAGGAGGTTTATTTTTTGTTTGTGGTATAAGGAGTACCGTTATTTTGCTACCTTCTTTTTGTGTTGTACTCATGGCCATATTTTAAATCTCAGCGGTAGTATTTTACTGTCCTGTTCTAGTGTCAATTGTGTGATGGATTGCTGTGGTAGGTAGCATAGGTTTAACCCCACATCTTTTTCAAGCTCAGCTCCATAACCTGTTTGTTCCTTCATATTTGTTAATGAGTGCCAATGTCATGGGATTGCATCAGATATATTTTCAATAGCATGCACCCCTTAATCGTTCTTCTGACTGAACAGTTTGATAGCATGTTTTGCTCAGATTTCTATGCATTTTTATTTTTTTTGGGCAGATGGTTAGTTTTCTTTCAGGTTCCTATGAACGCTATCTGGCTCCCCTCCCCTCCCCGCTGCTTTCAGGTAATCACTCCTTCACTATGTCAGGAGACCATGGTAACATCATGATCTGCAGCCAATCTCTGTTAGATGGCTACTGGTGCTCCTGGCATGGTGGAGAAGCGATTACCTGAAAGCAAAGAGGAGGGTATGCAGGTACTGGTCATTATCATAGGAATCCTAGAAAGTTGCATAACCGCCAACTTCAGTTGTGGAGTGGCCAATGGCTGACGCGGTCAAGTGCAGATATTAATAATGTTAGGCATACAGAAATCTTAATATGTTATGATATCTCATCATAATTGCAATTACATATCATCATAACTGCAATTACATCTCATTGTTAAACACCAGTATATTTTTATATTGGCCTTTCAATGTGATTGTACTTTTACTAAATATAAAAATGTGATAATGAGATATCTTCCATTCTTAAACATTTAGGTTGGTCATTTTCTCACCAAATGCTCTTCCCTTGAGTTTTCCTCATGTTGTATTTTAAATTAAGAAATTGTTCCTATGAATTTTTTGTTATTTTATATCTCATTGTAAATGCTGTCATCAGCCACTCTGTGGAACCTATCATTCTAGTTGGATCTTTTGCGAGTAAATCTGTCACCGCACTAAATCATTTGCTAATGCTCTACTCTGATTTATAAGTGCAATCCCAGATGTTCCATCGTTTTTTCAACTGTTGTACATTCTCTTTTCTTCTATTTAGATTGTATTTGAATTGCTGATGTATTCTTTTAATTTCTCAAGGTGTTTTTTGATTTTTGATTTTTGTGTAATTTCCTTGGATATCCTGTAACTTGTTCTTCTGTTCCATTGGGATCTTTGTCCCCCAACAGAATGTAATTAAGGCTGCGATTCAGCCAGCACAAACTCTCTAGGTTAACAGTTTGGCATAAATAGGTTTTTGGACCCAAACAAACTCCTTGGGCTAGCAGTCCTACACGTGAACATTATGGATGACATGTTACTCTCTTTGGTTATGAAGGCAGCTGGTTCTGCATTAACTGGTCTTGTTCATGATAGCCTTTCTGAATCAAAATGCAGATTGAATGTACAAGGAGTTGGGATTCACAAATATGGTTACACGTCGTAGCGGATAACAAGTAAGTTCACATAATTTTATTCTAAATTAATTGGAATCTGCTCATTTCTTTCCTGGTGGAGTGTCCTGTTTTTATTCTTAATTAACAGTGCGATTCCTGTTCTGCATCTGTTAAATACAGTTATTATCATCCTTGATGTTATAGGTTTGACAAAGATTTTAGTTGTCTGTCCAGTCCAGATTCTATGTTTTTGCTTTTTTCTTTTCTATTGGTAAATAGTTGCTGAGCGTTCATGTAATTGATAATCCCTCCTATAAAGTAAGAAAGCAAGGGAAGTTTTCAGTGATAGGGGAATGTGTTTAAACTATTCCTTAATTAGGTGCTGATAAACAAGAACTGTTCGAAAAAAGTGTCCTCTCCAGTCTCTACTATCCGTTTTAAATGTTTTTTTTTCCTATTGGGTACTTCTCTTTTATGTATTCTTAATATATATTAGCAACAGGTTATATATAATCGCAATTCCGCTTAATGTACTCTAATCAGAGAATAATTATCCTACAGGTATGCTTGGACTTTTGCCCTTCACACTATCGAATTACCTGCCTCCATCGAATGTCAGCTCTGAGCGTGTATGCCCAATGCATGATTATTCTTTGATTAATCGGTCCAAATGTGTGTTGAAATTTTGCTAAAAATAAATTCAGCACAAACCCAGTATAAGTAGTCAAAAGTCATCATCCCATACAATGGGTACAACACTGCAATTGGACCTATTGTTGAAATTACTGTACAAACGACTACTAGCCCAAATCGGGAAAAACCCGGAAAGTCAGCCCAGTAATTTGTAAGCCGGCCCAAAAGTCAGCCCATAGCCTATAAGCCCATAAATCGGCATTATAACGTCAAACAGCTCCCATAACGTCTATGCATGCCCATAAGTCCGCTTAGTAACGTGAAACAGGCCAATAACAGGCCTAATAATGTGTAAACCGGTCTATAAGGTGGCATTGTAAGGTGAAAGGGGCCCAATATTGTGTAGCCAGCCCTAAAACTTGGCCCAATGATGTGTAATCCGGCCCAAAAAAGGACCAATAGAGTGTAAGAAGGCCCATAAATCAGCCCAATAATGTGTATGCAAGCCCAAAAGGTTGGCCCAATAACGGCCCAATAATGTGTACGCAGCCCAAAAAGTAGGCTCCATAATATGTATGCAGCCCCAAAAGTGGGCCCAATGTGTTATACAGGCCCAAAAGGTCGGCCCAATAAGGCCTATGCAGGCCCATAAGTTGGCCCAATAAAGTGAAAATGGGCCCATGAAACGGCCCAAAAACGTCCATGCAGTCCCATAAACCGGCCCAAAAAGCGAAATAGGCCCAAAAGGTCCCAATAACTTCTATGCAGGCCCATAAGTAGGCCCAATAACGTGTATAAAGGCCCATAAGTTGGCCCAAAAACATGTATACAGGGCCATAATTTGGCCCAAAAACATGTATACAGACCCATAAGTTGGCCCAATAACGTGTATGAAGGCCCATAAGTCGGTCCAATAACGTGTGAGCAGGCCCATAATCCGGCCCAATAACTTGTATTCCCAGATAACGGCCCAAAATTGTTCCTCCGGGCCCAAAAAATAGGATAATAAAGTGTATACAGGCCCATAAGATGGCCCAATAATATGCAAATGGGCCCAGATAACACCCCAATACGTTTAAGCAGGCCCATAAATTGGCCCAATAACGTCTAAAAGACCCAAAAAAGTCCGCCCAATAATGTTTAGCAGTCTGCCTAATAACGCGTATGCAGGCTCTATCAACTCAATAACTTGTCTACAGTCCCATAAGTTGGCCCAATAATATGCAAATGGGCCCAGATAACACACCAATACGTCTAAGGAGGCCCATAAATCGGCCCAATAACGTCTAAAAGACCCAAAAAAGTCGGCCCAATAACGTTTAGCAGGTCCATAAGTCTGCCTAACAATAACGCGTATGCAGGCTCTGTCCAGGCAGATTTAAAATCAATGTCTATCAAACCCAAAATAAATGCACCCCAAACCCGCAAAATCCAGGCTTTGTCATCAAAAACCAGAAACCAAGTACTTAAACCAGGGGTTACTATAGGAATGACTTCAATCCCAAAGTATATCAGGCAATACAACAATTATACCACGAAAACCGGAACAGTGAACCTCACGACATTATGAGAGAATCCATTTGAAACGACCAGTGTTTATGCAGTACGGATTTTAACATTAAGAGTCCATTGAATCTTCCCCGCCGGCAAAGGGATGGACTTCGGAAGACGCAAAGGCACCTCATACTCTCCCACAGTTAACAAAGGAGATGGGAGATGCACGTTTTCGGGTAGAATGTGCACACAAAGCTGCCTTGCCACCTAAACCAACATAGAGAATGTATCAGCTAAAAAGGAAAAACAAATCAATGGAAATATTTTGACTTGAAAAAGATTGGCCATTTTCTGATATTTACAAGGATAAAGCTAGAAACCATGAAGAACATAACCATACCTCAGCCACAAGATCTTCCGTTGTCACAGGGGATTTCAATTCTATAGCGTCTTCTTTCGTTGCACGTGTACGGAACTTTTCAAGATTGATAGACCTCCTCAGTACCTGTAAAAGTTTATGAAGTTCAGCTGCCCCATATATGTAAAGCAAAACATTTTAGTTCTTGTATGCATCAGAGATTCAATCAGCTTTCTGAAAGTTAGCATCACATTTCTCTCCAGGAAGAGAATGAGCTAGATTAAGAAATCAATCTGACCAACACTCAATTAGTCAACACCTTTCAAATCTGATGGAATTTCAGTTCGTACTTCTAACAACATCCATATATGACATTTGACTTTTAACCCAGCATTCTATTAGTACATCAAAAACTAACCAGGTTTATGAACATAAATGGGCTTATATCTGTCTTGTACAACAAATAATGCAAAAGAGATACACTTCAATCGGCAATTAAAATCTTAACAGATAGGCTACGAACCAGACGAGCATTGTCCAGAATTTTTGCTGCCTTCTGATATTCCCTCTGCTTAGCTTCCTCAGACACAGTAACTACTTTAACCTCCTCCTCTTCCTCTTCTTGAAGCAGGCAATTCTGAAATATATTTGTGACAAGCATAACAAAATTTAACAAAATAATAGGCAATGGACGAACATTGATAACGTAATCCATGGAGGACAAAGTAAAGAACCTTCCGCTGCTGTTTGATGAGATAAGCATACTTATCAATGTTTGGGACAGCAAGCAACTTGGGCATCAAATGGTTGCGAAAATGTCCGGGCGCAACCTTCACTGTCTGGCCAGCTTTGCCAAGCTTTTCTACGCTCTGAATGCGTCAAATATATCGTTAACCAATCAAAATCAATCAATCAATTCACTAACTAAACGCCAACCCTAATGATTGAGTTCGAGGAGAAATGCGCACCGTTGTTAGAATGACCTCCAACTTTCTGTACCTAACTCCTTGACAAGCATAGAGCAGAGGATTTATCATGCGATCCGAGTCGGAGCCATGGATGTTGGTGTCTTTAATGATTTGACGGATGACATTTCTGCCATTTCTTAAGTAAGCCATCCACAAAGCTTTTTCTAACCTACGCCAAAACATTTAAACAGAAAAGATATCGATGACAAAATCAAACTAGATGACGATATACGGAACGTGGTTTCGGTTTTCCATTCTGAAATTGTTTTCCTTTCCTCGGTTTCTCAGCAACCAAACACAGATGCGTAATTAATTTCATGGTGATGAAAAGGTACAAACCGATCAACTTTTTTGTACTGAAGAAGAAGAAGAAGACGTACCAGCTGTGACAGTCGATTAGCAAGCTATTGCGATAACGACTGTGGCGAGAAGAGAGAGAGAGAGAGAGAGAGGGGTTTAGGGTTTTCTGTGACGGGGCTGAAAGTCACAGTGGAAGAGTGAAAATTGAAAAGAAGGCCGAAAGGGGATTCAGAATCAGGGGTTTAAAGCAAAATATCTAAAACACCCCTGAAACTGAAACAAATTTGCACGCCCACAATGGGTTCAAAAATTCCTAAATAATATACCTTTCTATATTAAATGAAATTTGATCTATAGCATACTTTAATATAGAAATTCATTTGTTTGAATAAAATAAATAAAATTCCTAATTTCTAATGCTAGTACAAAAATGAAGAGTTAAAATGTCAAACCGTGCTTAGGGAAAAAAAGTTTTGTTTACCATATTGTATGATATAGACTTGGGTTAGGAGTTGGTATGTGTATATTAAGAATTTTGGTCAAATAACAACAGTTCCGTTTTTTCTTTTTTATACAAGCGATATTGAATGCATTTGGTTAGTGGTCACAATCACATAATTACATTCAGAATAGACTAATTCACAAGGCGTGCTTGGTGTTTCAAGTGCAATGAGAGTTCACCAGCAGTGGCAATGAGATAGATTTGTCCAAATAAATTGGGTCAAATAACTGCACAAGGAAACAAGTGGAGACATGATCATTGATCATCGACACAAAATACACAAAAAATAATTGTCACTGGATTGTGTTCGCACTTCCCAGATTCGCAGACAACTAAAGCTAAAACTCCTTCAGATATTACATTTACAAATTACAGTGGTAGTGGATGCATTCATATAAACCACCGATGTGCCTAAACTATGGAGCAAAAACTCCCTTGCCTTACAGGATAATACATCCAGAAATGATCTGAACAACAATATCACGGCAAGACCAGCTCAAAATTTTAGTACAGATGTTGCTCCTGCTCGTTTAAGGGCCGTCTTCTTGTGCTGATTCAAAGTAAAGGAGGATTAAGAGTCAAATTATAGGGAGGGAGACCAGAAAATTATAAAGTCAGACATGGAAGGAAGCAAAAGAGAGACTTACTGCTTAAAATAAAGCCCTGGAGCAAGCTTTGAGCTCTCTCAGCCTGCTCTGGAGTACCTGAAATTTGAATGATCTTTTGTGTTTCCTCTGGTCTATCCTCTACCAGGGTCACATTGGCTCCTGATAACTGTTCCACTCAAAAAGACAATTAATCAAAGCTAAACTTGGAAAATAAAGAAAGGAAATTACTAAGAGCTCATCAGGCTGACCTCACTGATCTGAGCAAGCTTGTTTCTTGATTTCGTTATGAGCTTTGAAACTGCCTGCTCTGGTATTACAACTTCAAGTGTACTCCTAGTGACTAGTGTCACAGGTATTCTAACAGAATATATAGAGCAAACATCGAAACGATGGATATTAATTGGTAGGAAATATATATATATATATATATATATATATATAGAGAGAGAGAGAGAGAGAGAGAGAGAGAGAGAGTAAAATGAGACTGATTTATATGAGGCCATAATAGTAAAACGAAGAAGAAATTTGCTACCTATTCAATGCACTCAGAACATCTTCACGCCGTTCACTTTCGTTTGGCTTTACCAATTCACTGGAAATCCCTCCAGTATCCTACAATACGACAGTGAAAATCTTATAACACAAAAACAAGATGTATGTGAAACAATGTGTGTCCGGTTTAAAATCATATCAAGGTAGCCTGAACATAGTCAGCTAAACTCTCAAGAAAAAGCCACTTCTAAAATGCCTTTCTCCACCTTCTGGCACAACATTTCTTATTCGCTCAAATAACTCTCACAACTAGTCACCTGGATTAAGTTTAACTGGATGAACACTCCAGTTCCCCAAATTGCAGATAAATGAAATAACGATAAACACAAATACAACCATCTAATGGATATTGACGAGAACAAAATATCTGAGGAGAAAGAAGAAACTGTAAAAATGACAGAAAATGAGCATTTCTTAATCCAGCCAAAGATAGAAAGGACAACCTTTGATGCCAGTGCGATTGCCCCAGTTTGCAAATTCTGATAGGTTGTCATAGGAGGATTATTTCCAGTATGAGCTTCACGAAGTGGAAATGTGTTATTGGGAGATATCTCCAAAGCTGGTGCAGAAACAGGTGGTGTCGTATCCTTTCGAAACAACTCCCTATATAAGTAACTCCGTATTCTTGATGTCAGCTCAACAAGAGCATCTCGAGCTGCTTTTATTTCCCCTACGATCTGTAGATGACATGTAGGAGCCATTCAGAATTACCTCAAGTATAACTCATCCTGTCCACCAGGTGGTCCAGGGCTTTGTAACCTTGGTGACAAACGTTTTTGGTCCTTTCTTTTATCTTTTTGTTAAAAACAGTTCATCTGATAAATGACAGTGACAAACGGAGATGCATATTCAAATACACACAGACAAGGGAAAGAAGCATGCATTCACAAGATATTCTAGTCAAAATGCATAATTAGATGAGCAGACCTTTGATCTGTTCCAGTGGATTGTTCACGTAGAACGGTCCATGATCATCCTAAATCTAAGGATACAAGCTCCACTTAAAAAGGAGCCATAATGTGATGCTTCAAAATTTAAGAACTCATCTTCATTTTTTAAGTCCGCTAAGAAGGCATTCAACCAAAAATAAAACTACCAAGCGAGTCTCTCAGATAATGAGAAGAAAGGTGAGCAACAAACCTGTACAATCACATCGTCCCCTGATACGCACACAGGAAGTTCTTCTCTGGACAAAATTTGTATATTTGCACCAGTAAGTCGCCTCATATCTGATAACAACCCATCTCTTCCCTCTAAGCATCCAATATCACTAGTTGGGATAAGTAGCCTAGTAGTGATAATGTTGTCTTTGTCTGGAATAAGATCGACAATGCGAGTTTGAATATGCAACAAAGCTTCCTGAGCTGGAAATAGCTCGTCATCGGGACCCTACGTACACACATAACATGGTCAAAACTGTACAAGAAAAAGAGAGAAGGGGGAAGCATATCATTTTAAAAAGCCAATCATCACAACATTTACGATTCCCCAGATGCATACATGCACATGCCTACATTATTTTAGCAGTGCCATCAGCAATTCGAGTGTATCATCACTTCAAATTTACACTTTATGAGTCAAATACTTATATTATTATATACCGAGATTAACTACAGAAAATTGTAAAATACCTCCTCTGAAGAGATGATGATTATCTGTTCATCTGCACCAGCCACAGGGTCAGTAGCTTTGACATCCACACCAATTTCATTTTGAAGCAATTCAATAATTCCATCAGAATCTCCAACAACAAGATCAACTTTGTCAATAGGACAAAGTATTCGAAACACAAGGTCTTCGCCATAAAAGGGCTGCACATTATCGGTCATGGGACCAGACCCAGGTTCAATGTTAAAACCAGATGAACGGGAGGCATAGTTGTTGTTTCTGATATTGGATGTAGGTAATCGTGCCCCAAAAGCAGCCCCATCCATGGGTGACTTACGTGATGTATTGTTCATATGAGGAATATAATCATCGTCAGGAGGAAAGAACCGTTCTGGTGAGTGTAATCGTCCCTGGAAATGACTGCGGTCCCGATGCTGACTCTCCCTCAAGCGTGATGAAATAGTTGCTACAGCATTCTTAACACAATTCGCTTCACCTACTACCTGCAGCAGAAATGCAAAATCATAAGCATGATAATTCCCTTATTTCAAATAATGTTGATGAGGGGGAAAAGGAAAAGGACAATTTCACATAAATCTTTAGATGGTGTATTGACACCATATTGTACTAGCTTAAAAGATCCGTGTGAAACATTTACTGCAAAATACTCCCACACATTAGTGCCCAACAAAGATGCAACTGAAAGCTGAAATTTTTTATAGAAAACACTATCACCAATATAGAACGAAAACCTAAACTAATTCGATAAACATCATAGTACTCCAGCATTCAGCCAAATCCACTCCAGCTGACAGTGATATAAGCTGCCAACAACTGTCCTTATTTTTGGTCCGGAGATAAATTTTAAAAATGAGGGTCCTCAGAGTATATATTATATACATTTTGCAGTTATTAGTTAACTTAACAGGAAACCAAAGTTTCTGGCATTCCAATCTAACCAATAATAGAATGGAACTGAAAAGCTCAGCAATTTGTGACATGCAACATAGGAATCAGATGCAGTTAAAGCTGTAAGTTCCAAAACCTGAACAATCTCCTCAGACATAGAAACACAGCGAGGCAGATTGTGATCTCTAGGCAAAACCCTAATCTGGGTCTTGGTCTCAACCCTCATTTGCTCAATTATCTTGCCTCCCT